ACTGTTTCTTTTCTCTCTTTTCTTTTTCTGGAAGAGTTACACATTCATATCAAAGATAATTTATATAGGTTCATACTTTGTAGACACTCGAGTAAAAAATCATTTCTTCTCTCTGTACACATTAACCACCTGTCTTACTCTTATTTTATCTACCATCTCCTTTGATAATGTGATCAATTATGACTGTCCATAACTTCCTGTGTTTTGCTGCTCAAAGTAAGTTTTGACCATTTTTCTTCTTTGTTCCTGTTCTACCATCCGTAGGTTACTCTCTCTTTCCTCGCTGCTTCTTTTGCACTCAATACATATTTTCAGTGTTAAATTCTCCAGGCCATACTTCTTCATTATGGGTCATACAAATTTCACCTTTCACTTTCTGATTGTAAGCACCAATTTCCATGTAGTTTCTGTTTTCCTCAAGACTTCATTGCTCTTCACATGTTCTGTCTATGGTATTCTCAGCACCACATCTATTGTTTCAAGTCTTTTCTTCATCTGTCAGGAGATTGTCTAGCATTCATCACTATATAAGAGATTCTTCCAGAATATATTCCATACTTCTCATAATATTTCTTCATTGAAAACTTTCCTTAACAAATGGAATCAATTTTGATTTCCTTTTATGCCAGTATTTGCTTATGGCCAATGTCACTGACATTGAAACTTGATACCAATCCTGGGTATGATGATAAACTACATCCAGGAGCAACATCTCTGATCAAGAGTTTTTGAGGCGTGTGGAACCACCTCTTAACTGCTGTTGTTCTCAGGGCCACCCTGACCCTAGGTGGTAGCATCTGTTAGGGTCCCAACTATGGGAAATAGATAACCCCTGAACTGGGATCAAAACACTATAAAAAAAAATACCAGCAATACTTTTTCATAGTAAAAATAAATTACCAGCAACACATTTAAAAAAAAAACAAAAAGAAAAACAGCAATAAATCTATTGTGGAAAAAAAAAATTAACAACAGTACATTTTTGTAAAAGGAATTACTAATGCCTCCAAGAAAATTAAATTTTAGCATTAAATGACACATAAGGTGTTTAATATGCCACTAAAAAAACAATAGTAATAGAAATCTGATGCATGTCAATAACAAAGCTTGTAAATAGACATTGCTTCATTATGCCTTTCATTCATCTTGATTAAGACATCATGTGGTGGACCTGTAAACAACAGCATTTAAGAGGTGGCTCCATGCTCCTCAAAAACTCTTGATCAGAGACCTTGCTGCTGGATGTAGTTTATCATCATTCCTGAAAAAAGAAGTTAGGTGTTAACTAATGGTAATTACCTATTTCCTTTCAGCATTCGTTGACTGAGGGGACAGTGCTATTTGAGTTAGGTTTTTTTTCAGTCTTTGACTATTGGGCTGGGATCATAGTGTAGTATCTCTCCTCACTATCTGTGACAATGGTAATATTAGCCATTTTCTTATGAGGAAACATTTGGCATTCATTGACCAAAGTATCTATTACGTTCATTGAAATTTATCAAATCTCTCTATTAAAACAATTTTTTAGGAAAATAGTTTTCTCAAGTCCAGTAGCTTTCATTGCACTTTCTAATTTTTGCTGAAATTGATCAAACATTGATGTAGATATATAAAAACATTTTGAGTAATAGAAATAATGTCATTCTGATGTATAACTTTGTCCACTATAATGGTGCAAAAATTATATCACAAAAGTTGAATCAGTTGAAAATGGAAATTTTATTGCATCTTGCAAATTTCCCTGACCTTTTTAATTTTTAGCATTTTTTCAAACATCAATACTGCATCCTTACAGACAAGAACTTCTCTCATCAGAATCCTACTGAAAATTCCTGTAATGAATTTATTGCTTTTGAATAAAGAATTATTCAAGAAGGGAGTAAACAGCTTGTTGCCAAGGTAAAATTAATGTTTGGAGGCAAAAAAGGAATATTTGCATTGAATTAATAATTTTTCTATTCATTTTTTTTTTTTTTCAATTCATTTAAATTGGAAATTTTGTGTAAGGCCACTCAATACATCAGGTACATAAGTTTTTAAAATCAATGAAAACATCATCAGAATTTAATCTTTGTATGGTTGTTAGCAAAAGGAACAACCCAGCATTACAAATTAGAGATATACCACAATAAAGCAAGTACAAATATCTCAGAAGTGTTTTTCTTACAGAGGATGGAATGTGTCATGCTGAAATCTGAAGGTACATTAGGATAGTGAAAGATGCCTTCTGAAAGCAAAGCAAATTATTAAGAAACAGGAAAATTTCATTAGAAACAAATAACTGACTGTTATGTAATATCAGTCCTCTTATATAGCAGAGAATGCTGAATAGTCATTGCACAAATGAAAAAGAAGCTTGAGGTGATAGGAATATGGTTATACAGAAGGATGCTGGGAATACTATGAAGTGAACATGTGAGCAACAACCAAGTTTTAGAGAAAATGGAAACAAAAAACACACTTACACATAACATCAAAAAGAGAGAGTTAAAATTTCTTGGACACATAATGAAGAAAGAGGGCTTGGAAAATTTGACACACACAGTACATATTGAAGTCAAGAGGGACAGAGGAAATCAGGAAAATGAGCTTGTGTAAATGGATGGCAGAACAAAGTTTATGATAGATACAAAGGGAGAACATTTTTTCAAGAACTATGAAGAACAGGAAATTGTGAAGAGCCATGATTGCCAACCTCATGAAATGACACAACACATGAATAAATAAGATTTCCTAAAATCTTAAATGAACAAAATCTTATTAACAATTGTCAGAAATTTTGAATTTCGATAAAAAGAAAGATTCTTAAAATTTTTAACAAAATATACAAGGAAATATTTAAGTGTTTTACTAATCGCATTTTGTATACAAATATGTAAACTGGGATGAATAATCCCTATTCCCTCAATATTCCATTAATAAGAAGGAAATTCCATTTTGGCAGTTTCTTCCCAAGAAGTGCTACATTGTGGAACAGACTCTCAAGAGAATGCTTCCCTCATCACTACAATCTTCACCTCTTCAAGTCTAAGGTCAATTGATATCTTTCCTTCATATCTTCATAATGTGCACTTCTTATGTCCTCCTTTTATGTGCATACAACAATTACATTTAGCAACCCTCTACCATTAGTGGCTCTTGGCCATTGTATTGGATGAACAATTAGGAAAAAAATAAAAGCCTTTTTAAAACTATAATATATTTAAAAATATAAGGGTTGTATAATATTTCATAGAATATACTTTTCAGTTGAGAATATTCAAGAATGTATCTTAGCTAGTCGCAAATAAGGTTAAATACTATCTTCTGAATGGTCATGGTAATATTAGCCGTTTCCTTATAAGGAAACATTTGGCATTTATTGACCAAACAACCAGTACTGCTTTTGGGTGAAATTATAAACTCTTTCTCTTAAAACATTTTTTCAAGGAACTAGGTTTCTCAAGTTGACTGTCATGACACTTTCCAGCATCGATAGAGGTTTGCATTTTCGACTGTTGTTATTGTAGAAAGTCCTCAAGTGATGTTGTTTGTGTTATTTAGTTATGTAGCATCAGTTCACAAGTCTCAAAGAAGGATAGATATATGATGCATTATCTTTTTATGCCATCAAAAAGGCAAAATATTAAATTTAAAAATGTTTTGCATAATAGATATAACACCAGTGGCGTAGCTAGAATAAAAACGTCACCGGGCGGTCTGCTCAAATGTCACCCCAATGACCTCGATTCACCCTGTGCTGAATGGTTAACTGTAGCTAAATTTTCATACATGTTCTACCTCTACTTTACTCTACTGACCGGTACGTTACTGTTTACATGTATGATCCAAGACAAAATCCAATACCATAAAATAATCAGTTCAAATCAAAAGCTGAAAACATTGCTATTTTTCCTACTCACAAATTTCCCGACAATTTATTAGAAAACTTCTGACAGGGGGACAGAACTGGGATGGGGTCATAAATTATTTCTGGGGGTCATATGCCCACCTGCGAAACCCTGCGTCTCCACCACTGTTTTCAGACTATTTTCAGCACCTTAGCCTGGTTGAAAAATTTTGTTGGGGGTGACATTGTGTCACCCCTCCTGTGCTGGCACCCCGGGGCGGTCCACCCCCTCTTAGCTATATAACACCATTTTTCATTTCATTGTTTTTGACCCCATTGGTAATGTATTGTATTTTTATAATTATCTTGTCCTAGTCGGATATACATTTGTTTATAAATTACATAAGAAGTAAATAATAAATGTTGTTTACATATTGAAATTTCTTTGAACCTGTTTTATCAAAACAAATGATGATCTAAAAAAAGGTTATCAGATTAAAATCAGTGAACACCAGAGAAAAAGTTAAATTTGAGTGATCAAAAGTCATTAATCCAATAAGAAAAAAAAATAGTTACAAATAACTGGCAACTGATTTAAACATTTGAATGACTGACTTTTGGGACACACACATTTAGAAGCCAACATTATACATTTTATTTTGAGTGAATGCATTGCTAAATGTCTAAGAAATATTTGTAATTTCCTAAAAAGTTGATGAATTTCCTTCTGCCATTGAAAAAGTGGTAATGGTTTGGAGCACAAAAACTTTGGCTCCAACCAGGGCAAACGAGTAAGTTACAGATAAATGGTGATATAGAAAGCTGACGGAAAGGATTATTAAATATATTTTTTTCAATTTCCTTCTCTACATTTCCCTTTCAATTTACAACTGTTTTGCTCTCATTCTCCCTGAATCTTTCCCATGTCTCTGACAAGTGACAAGGGAGGCAAACAAACTATCAAGTGAGAAAACTTTTGTAACTTTTAACGTTGATGCAGTGACAGAGAATAAATGATTTTTAGTTTCTGTTGTTAGCGCCATATCCTGGTCGATTCTGCAGAAATGTCTCATTGTTCAGTCTCTCAGTGCCGGAAGGTGATCAATTTCTATCCCAAGTTGCATGATGAGATTATCTTTTGGTGAATGATAGTGGTCAAAATTCATGCAAG